TCCCTAGTCCTGCACAACCAAAGCCCTAGTTCTTCCTACCCTTGGTGCGATTTCAATGTTGGTGAGGAGGGCATTGGTAGTGACTGCACACCATGCTATGCATCAGATAGAGGTGGTGGAGGTGGAAATGTGCTGGGAACACAATAAACTGCCTGTAAAATCTGCTCAGAGACCAGATTTCCATTGCTTCTTGATTTGAATATGCCTTGGGTGTGCTCAGACATCAGTCAGGCCCTGAGTTTTCATTGAAGATGATTACACTTACTAGTCATCTTAGTGAACTCTTTGTATGGATGAGGGCACAAAAAGGGGAAAGAAACCATCTATACACATCAGGTTAGCAGCAGATTAGGTCACTTATGATGGTGCCTGATGGAGAGTTCTGGTTCATGTTCTTCATTTCTATGCAGAGTTGTAGTTTCAGATTAAGCTGCTGGTGACCTAACTTGATCTGTGGTAACAAGAAAGGTCATTTCTGCAAGGCAGTCCAAAAGTGTCAGCTCATCTCAGCACAGCCTGGTTCCTGAGATATGCTCCCCTCCATTGCCCAGTGCTAGACAGGAGCTGATTATAGGGGGAGGAAGCATGGTTAGGTTCTGGTCTCTTGGCTGTTGACTTGTCATGTAGCAAATCCAGGTGGAGTCCCATGTACAACTGGTTCTGCAGCTCCACCTGCTGCTTGGCTTGAGTTGTGTTGGTACAACCCTGCTCCCGGACCTTGCCCTTAATGTGACTGCTGCTTTAGGCACTGTTTCTTTTACAAGCTCTAGGTTTACTGCAGGATCATAGAATCCTGGAATGGTTTTGGTTGGAAGGGGCCTTAAAGCTCCTCCAGCTCCAACCCCCTGCCACGTCAGGGACACCTACCACTAGAGCAGGTTGCTCCAAGCGCCTGTGTCCAACCTGGCCTTGAACACTGCCAGGGATGTGGGGCATAGCACTTCTTGGGAATGTCCTGATGAAGCAGAAGTTCTAAAGGTGGTGTCCGCCACGACAATGTTCTGTATTTTGTCAATAAATGTGTCAGAACTTGTTTTCCTGTGCTCAGGATGATAACTTGGGGTTCCACGTATGTTCATTCTTCTTTCAGGGGTAACTTATGTAAATGTGGATACCCTGAAAATCAGCACATAGAAGGCACTCAGATTAATACCAATGAAAAATGGAACTACAAGAAGCACACTAAGGAGCTTCCTACTGATGCCTTTGGGGACATTCAGTTTGAAAACATGGGAAAAAGAGGAAAGGTAAGTGATGGTAGTAAGGGCATATGTCAGGCCCCTGTTGGGAGCTCTGTATTCAGAGTCCTAAACTCTCTGCCAGTGGAACCCCCTGAAAAGCAGGGAAGGGGAAGATAAAGTTGATTTTATTCTAGTGGGAATGAAAGGTGTTAGGCTACAAAGGAGACAAGCTGGTTTCTCAAGCCCTGTATGTAGGTAAGAAAGAATAATTTCTCTGTTATTTGTTTCATAGGCTGGTGATGGGAAGGCAAAGAGGTTCTCTGTTTCCAGGCTTGGCAGAAGAAGGGGTGGATGAGGCGGTTGCTTGCTTTTTCTGGGAGCTAGTTTTATTGCAATTGGCCTGGAATGCAATTGTGAAGGTCTTGGGCTAGGGGGAATTAATGTAAAGCTAGATCTGTGCTGTCTCTCACTGGGACTCTGCGCCCTGATTATGTCAGTGTGTGGTCCCTGTCTATATGGAGATGTCATGGTGTTGAGGCGTAACTTAGTACCCTGCTACCCATCTTTAGTGGTGACCCTAACATGGTAAGCTTAAGTACCTGAATGGTCAAGCTCCTGATAAAGATACTTTGTTCCTGACTGCTTGAGTTTAACACCACCATAAGGCTGGGTTTTTGGGCAACACTGCACCTTTCCAGTGTGGACTAACTTATGCTTTAGAAAAGGAACAGTGTGAGGGTGAACACCAGTGCAACTCTTGGCACAGGAGTATGTGTGACATGCTTTGTCTTTGAAGGTGCAACAGGATCCGGGAGATAATAATCCACAGGGATTTCATATCTGTTTGGGGTGTAAGACCTCTTTTCGGAGGATCTGTACTCTTCAGTGCAGAAGCTGCACTTACATGCTTGCTACTCCATAAAATCATCACTTATGCTTTGTAATGGCTTTAACATGGGGCAGTATGTCATCCAGTGTCTGCCTACAGAGCTGCTTGACCTATATTCCCCTCTTCCCTAGCTGCTGTGTGTGCAGATCAGTGCAGTCTGTGGGTGTACAGTGCTCCTTTCCATACAGTCGTATCTTAGTCCTTGGGCTGGCCACTCTGTGGATGTTGTGCAATGCTGGAAAAGGTGTTCCACACCCTCCTAGAGCAGTTTTGTTTGGAACTTCCTCTAAGTTTTCTAGCCAAATCTCTTGCTTAAAGGATACCCGCACAGAGCATCCTGCTCAGGCCCATAACTGATAGAATACAGACTACTTCCCAGGGTGGAGATCCTACTATGACAGTAAATTCAGTGGGGATCTAAGAGAGCAGTGGAACTTCAGGGGTTTTACTCTGCTGGATTTTAATCTTTTCCTGTGTTTTTCCTTGGTGTGGGGACAGGAGTGGAGGGGTGGGAAGAAGAGAAGAGCTGGCGTTGCTGTTTGTGATGATTTATAGTGATACTGTGTGAGGAGTCACATGTGGCTGAGCTCATCTGTCTCTTCTAAATGAGTGGTATTTACCAACAGTGCAGCTTGCTTGAGACAATCCAAAGAAATGAGGGAAATCAGAGCATGTTATGTAAATTCATTGAGTTTGGTTTATGCAAAGTAGCAGAAATGAGGCATTTTGGTGGGAAAGAAGACTGAAGGTTTTGAATCACGATTAAACCAGATCCAAGTACTTAACATGTTTCTTGATATGAATCTTTTAGCTTCATACTGCTGTGCTGTAAGCTGCTGTGTCCCTTTACTGAAAGAAGAAATGGCTTTCTCTATTGCAGCATTTCAGAGTTCACAAAGCTTAAATGCTCTTTCCTTAGGCTGTGTTCCCCTTCCCACCTTGCAAATCAGTTTGCCCATAGTTGTTTCGGAGGACTCTCAAGGTCCTTGTGCATGTTTCAGAGCATACTTTGTTCAAATACTGCATGTAAGTCTCCTAATCTATCCCATCATGGAATCACATCTCTGTTCTACATTCTCATTCCATATACTTCAAGGCACCTGCTGCTCTTAAAACATGGCAAAGCATTTTCTCTTGCTGTTATGCGTGATGGGGAGGACGCCAAATCCAAGGTAACCTCAGAATCACCGACTGTTATCAGTGAGGGATGGGAAGTTTTATACCCTGCCTCGTGCTTTTTAGGACAGATGAGTCCTAAAAAGCTCTGAGCAGAACTGTTAGATATGAACAGACCTACTTGCATGCTTACTTTTTCTGCTCAGATCCTGCAACATCCAAGAACATTGCAGTTGCTGTCTTTTATGTTCTGGTACCCTCAAGCTCAAAAATGCTTCTCTGAAGAGCTTTCTTGAGCTCAGGGGCTGAAACACTCGGCAGTGCCTGCGCTGGAGGGTTGGATCGGTCATGGTTGGCGTGCACCAGGAGATGGCACCGTTGTACCTCAGAGAAAGAAAGTGCCTGCACGGAGGGGATTCAGCTGCTTGAGCAGAGCCTTGCCAAGGGTTCAAGCGTCAGATGTGCAGTTGCTAGTACCTCGTATGAAACTTAAGTGTAATTGAAGCGTGTTTGCAGTTATACACCGTGATGATGTAGGAGAGAAGCTGTATGAGCAGCTTGGCTGCAGCATCTTTTATTTGGTGCTTGCTTTATATGAAAACAAGAAGTCATTCAACTGGAAAACTTAATGGTTGGTGCAACAACGGCAGTCATACAGATTCAAGGTACTTTGTGGATCAGTAAGGTTTAGAGAAATATCTTCTAACTACAAAGCTAACAGGATTTGGTGTGGGGATGGCCCTGTGGAGCAGTTAATCCTTCTGGTTTGAGGCTTTATGGGTGGAGAGGCCCCCCTCTCCTGCAAAACACACCAAGAAGCTGATGCTTCTCAGAGCAGAAGCTGTGGCAGTCCCTTAGCTGTCCTGTGTAGCTGCTGGAGCCTGTTAGACTTCCTCTGTGATATGCTTTTCTGAGACGGATGGGATAACTGCTCCTGGGAACCTGTCCTGGCATACATCACCATGTCCTTTCATTGAAGTTAAATGCCTCTCAAGATACATAGAATCACAGAACACCAGGTTGGAAGGGACCTCAGTGATAATCTGGTCCAACCTTTCTAGGCCAAGCATGACCTAGACTAGATGTGCCAGCATTCTCCAAGCTGGTTCTTAACTGTGTCTAGTGTTGGGGAATCCACCACTTCTCTTGGGATATGATTCCAGTGACTGGTTTTTCTCCTCTTGTCTGCATTTGGAATCTGCCCATTACCCCTTGTCTTGTCCATGTGAAAAGAGTTAAGGGTGGGGTTTATGCAACAGCATTTGTGTTGACAAGCTCTGATTGCCTTAATGCCATAGTCTTTTGAAACAAAGTCATGTTGTTTTCAACTGCCTCAAGACTTTACTGCACCATCTAGTGAGGAATCGGACTGAACAATATTCTATATAGGTTGCTTTGCATCTTCTGTAGCTTAGGTTGATGCTTGGGAGGCACCAGTGGTGTAATAGGCACTTCTGGAGGAGGAAGTGATTTGTCTTTTAATGATGGTACTTGCCATGTTGTGAATATTTGACTTTTTTCAGTATATATTTGTATTAACATAGATACGGGAGAATGATCGTGGTAGTTTGGAACTTAAACCAGCGTAACAGTAAATAACCTGGGGAATGTAGTTCAGTTTGTTTTGCTGTATCTGTCAAGTAACGTGCAGCTAAAAGACACTAAGTGAACAATCAGTCAAACAGCATATAGAAGAAATATGGCCATTTTTTTGTTACAGTGGTTTTTTGTAGGGTACCATTTGGAGTCACATTGCAGAAATGAAAATAAGACTCCGGTACCTCAGGCACTCGTTCTAAACACAGTAGTTGAAATATTAATCCTAGTGTACAAGAAGCTAATTTATTGTTTCAAACCAGACTCAGGCTAGAGCTTTTGCAGCATCAAGTAGACAGCTTTACACATGCTTCTATTTTCCTACTCTTGTGCTGGTTTCAGCTGTTTCATGGCAGGAACAAATCTCTGTATCAAGTTGTATTGGGGGGGGAGGCGTTAGGAAGGCTCTTTGTGAATAAGTGATAGCTTAGAAAATAGACTTTAAAGTATTTCTTCATGTTTTGCTTAAGAAATATTTGCTTATCTGGTAACGTTGGTTGCCAATTCCCTCATACGTGCGTCTTGAGAACTTAAAAGGCTCCATGCATTTATTACTCCTGATCTGAGATGGCTTAAGCTATCTTAGGGTTAGTACATCTGGTACTGACCCCTTAGCCCGGACTCAGATTCTTTCTTCACGGAGTTCAGACCGTGGGCAGCCTAAAGAAAGGTCTTGCTCAGAATCCTGCCAGCTTGGCGAGACGTCTGTTTCAGAGCTCCCAAAGCCTGGCAGTGCTTGGTTGAGGAACCAGCTTTAAGAATTGGATGGCGACTTGCAAATCTGAGCAGAGCTCATTCTGTCTACTATTTGTTGCTTTCTATTGAAAAGAGAAAACAAACAACAAAGATCAAACATGGGCATTTCTTCCTCACACACAGGCTTCAAGCTTTACTACCTATTTAATGAAGTTACGGGTTATACTTAAAATGCTGTTATGGGTATATGTTACAATAGGTACACCATGCACGTGGAGCCTGGAATTTATAGCTCATTCAGTTAAGGCTTAGTAGTGTAATCAAAATACAACTGTAATTATTAGATCACTTAGAACAATGCTACCACTCATCTGTGATCTAACCTATAATTAGCATTGGTACAGTTAAAATTGTTATACCATAATCTTCCTCAGTGTTGTGTTCATCCTTCCAACGTTCCTCTGAACCCTGGGATCAGTGCTCCTGCCTTCCTCTGCTTCAGAGGAAGGTGGCTTGGGTGCCTGGGGGGAATAAAAATGCTTTAGAAGGAGACACAAAGGCTTCACCTTTTGTCTGCTGGCTGTTGGCATAAGACTGTTCATTAGAGATGAAAGCACCATGTTCCCAGCTATCACTGTTTACTTCTTGCTATGTTTGTTCTTTTCTCTCACCCAAGTACATCCGCTTGTCATGCGACACAGACTCTGAAACACTCTATGATCTCATGACCCAGCACTGGCACCTGAAGACCCCAAACCTTGTCATCTCTGTCACTGGGGGTGCAAAGAACTTTGCCCTCAAGCCCCGGATGCGCAAGATATTCAGCAGGCTGATCTACATTGCCCAGTCCAAAGGTAAAGACCTGCAGATGTGCCTGTATGATTTTACTGCTGGAGAGGCAGCAGCCCAAAGGATCAGCAGGGAGGCAGAGCATTCAGGGTTAAGAACTAGTCATGAGATGCCCATGGGAAAGTAAGGTAAGTTGGGTAGCATGTCTTTTGTGTTTAACTGAAGAATAAATGACTCTTGTGAGGTAAGGTCTTGAGAGGGATATGGGATGTGGTATCCTAAAGGTACTGCATTAGGAGGGTGGGTGTTCCACTACATGCCTCCAGGTTTTTGGACGTTTTCCCCAGGGGCCTGGATTTTCACAGGAGGCACGCATTACGGGCTGATGAAGTACATTGGGGAAGTGGTCAGAGACAACACCATCAGTCGGAGCTCAGAGGAGAACGTGGTGGCTATTGGCATAGCAGGCTGGGGCATGATTTCCAACCGGGAAAGTCTGATCCGCAGTGGTGATACTGATGTAAGAACCATGTCTGGGTTGGTGGGAAGGGGGAGGCTTGGCTCTCAGTTATACAGGTTATGTCCCTGCCTGACCCTTGCTCTCAGCATAACAGTATCTGTGCTAAGCTGGTGCTATCAGCCACGTGATGTCTGAGCTGAGCAGTCAGTCAAGCTCTGCTTGTATGTCTGGCAAAGCAGACCTCAGCAGAATGCTTTCCAGTGCAATGTTTGTGTAGAAGCACACTTGTGTATTCTTGACCTGGCCTACTGTGTCCTCAGCAATTCAACCTGGGCCCAGTTTTCCTCAATATACATAGCAGTGAGGCAAAACATTGGGTGCTCTTCCCAGAACAGGAGGAAACCAAATGGTTCTCACAGAATCCCAGCCTGGTTTGGGTTGGAAGGGAGCTTAAAGCTCATCCAGTTCCAACTCCCTGCCACGGGCAGGGACACCTTCCACTAGAGCAGGTTGCTCCAAGCCCCTGTGTCCAACCTGGCCTTGAACACTAATGAGGAATAGTTGGTGGCTGGGGGTTCAGCTCTCTCCAGCTCATCCCTGAAGGCTTGTGCATGCTCTGCCCTTGGGTCTGTTAAACTCTGTGCTTGTGCTTCCAGGGGTACTACTTGGCACACTACATAATGGATGATCTCAAGAGAGACCCTCTCTATTGCCTGGATAATAATCACACCCACCTCTTACTGGTTGATAACGGCACCCATGGACACCCGGCGATAGAGGCCAAAGTACGAACTCAGTTGGAGAAGTACATTTCAGAGCGGGTTATCCCAGGTAGGTGTGGATGGGACGCTGCAGGCTTCCTTCTCCTTAGTTCTTGCATGCTTTGGGGCTGATGCACAGTGATTTTCTGGGGACAAAAGAGTAGTGGTAGCATCCTTTGGATGCTGAGCTGGAAGGGATGTGGTAACAGCACACCCGGCCCTCTTCAGACCAACACCCCTCCCTTCATCTTCCTTTCTTTATGTGACAGTAATCCTTTGTGAGACACAGCAAATAGTCTGGTTTAGCCCTTCCCTGCTATCCTCTTTTCCTGCTATCTGTTGGAAGCTGCCCTTGACTTCCCACCTAGCACCAAATTCCAGGTAGCTGAAGCACAACTACACAGGAGCTGAAGTAAGGCTTTTCCGAAGAAATCAATTTGTGAGGGTGATTGATCCATCTGCAACCTGCTCCTGAACCATTTCAGCTCCTTCTTTGCCAAAATGGGGAAAAAATACCCAAAACCTTGACAGGAAATTCTGAGTTAGAGGGTTTGGGGTTGGTTTGCTTTACTGTGTACCTCAGCTGAAGCATCCTTGCTTTTAGTCATGATTAAGCACCCAGACTCATGACAACTTGGGATGTCTCTTAAACACTAGCTCTTACAGTTAGGGTATTCCTAGCTTTCCTTTGCAATTGGCAGTGTGGAGACAGAGGTTCTGAATCTTGGACTTGGGATAAGAACCACGCAGTGGTCAAAGCAGTAGGTAAATACAATAAAATCACAGTTGGGGGACTCTGGAGCTCCTAAAAGTGATGATTGATAGGAGGAAACAATCATCTCTTGGAGAAGGGTGTCTAAAGGGAGCTGTGCAGGACATCAGGCAAAACTAACTCTCCATTGAAACCAGGAAGAGCTGTTAATGAATTTGGCAAAATCAACAGTAATCCAGTAGCTGTAATCATTGTACTCAGGAAAAAGGAGTTGTTCAAACTGCAGTAATGGGTTTCTTTTTCCTTTCTTCTTTTGGCATGTTTCACAGAATCTAATTATGGTGGGAAGATCCCAATCGTGTGTTTTGCCCAAGGTGGGGGGAAAGAGACTTTGAAAGTAAGTTTACTTCTTTTACTTACTTCCAGGAGTGACAAAGGGACGTTGCTTTAGGAGTTAGGACAGGTTATGCCACAAGCAACTTGACAAAATAGACAGTCCTGTTTTATTACTGAAGCTTGCCCAGCACTTGCTATGGAAACACCTTGCATTGAAGCTGATGAAGTTTGTTTCAGTTAAGGTTTTCTGTGCAAAAAGGTTCTCCTAGAAAAGTGTTGGCTGGGACAGTTTGGTTCTTCCATAACAAATCCAGCAAGGAAATACTTCTCTTGTGTTTATCTGAGCAGCAATCAGAAATGGCTTTGTCAGCCATGTAGGTATTGAGCCTTTTAGTACCATTGTGCCTGAACTTAGCTTTGGGAAGACATGGCTTGCTCATGCTCAGTGGAGATTAGTGCTTTCTTGTGATACACAGGGAAGAGCTGTGCTGGAGATACTCTGGCTCTGAGCTTGCTTCAACTGCCTCGTGGTTGGTGCTCCTGAGGACTGTGGTCTGCACCTAGTTTAAAGGTAGGCAGCTAAGCAAGGCAGGAGGGCTCTGCTGACTCTCACCTTTCTCAGCCTAGAAGGGGAGGGAGCAGGCATCACCTTCAGACAGATGACAGGTAGGAAGAGGATGAACAGCATGGAGAAGGCAGAATGAAGTTTCTTGAAACAGGATGTCTCAGTGACACTTAGGGAAGGGGGGAGAAGATAACTTCTAGTGCTGTCTTAGTGTTAAAAACCAGGATTTACCTCCCCATCCACTGCAAGAGTGAAGATGAGTGCCCTGCACAGAGAGGGTGTGACTGAGGGAGCAAAGGGACCTGGCAGCAGGGAATTCAAACTGAGGGCATGTGCAGTCAGGCTGTGTGGGAAGGGCACAGTAACCGTGAGGGTGAGATGGCTCTGATGAACAGCAAGAAGAGGAGCTGATGTAGCCTGGGCTGCAAGACCTTGAGAAAGAGCTGGGAAATGGGCTGGAATTGCAAGAAGGTAGGATACAGTGAAGAGATTATGTCAAGTGTTTGAGTCAGCAAAACTGAAGCAGGTTGTATTTATAATCCTTTCTTTTGGGTGCTCTTGGAACTACCTGTTGTGCCCAGAGTTGTGCTGTTCAGACTGAGGCTAATCAAACTGTTTGGCTTGTCAGGTGACAATGGGAATTCAAAGCACAGCCTTTGTAACCACTTTATTGCTAACATTAATCAATTGGTCTGAACCAGGCCATTCCCAGCCTCCCTGTATGCTTCCTGGGTCTTTTGGTTCCATTCACATCTGATTAATTTCAGCTTTGCCCACAGGTAGGTTGTAGGTGAATAGAGATGCAGAGTTCAGTGTTTTAATTAGCGGTCCTAAGATGAAATGAAGCATCCATTCAGGTTTTAGAGCAAACCTGCAAATGATATGTTAAATATGCCCTGCTCTGGCCCATGGATTTCTGTTTTTCTCACCTAATTCAAACCTCCAATCTCTAGTCTTTCTCCTGAATAGTAAGCTCCTAACACAGTCATGCTTCAAGTGATCACCTCTCCCTCTCCCTAGTCTATCAACGTGGCCATCAAGAGTAAGATTCCCTGCGTTGTGGTGGAAGGCTCTGGTCGGATTGCTGATGTTATTGCTAGCTTGATGGAGGCAGAAGGCACTCTTGCTTCTTCATGTGTCAAGGAGAGCTTGCTCAGGTACCTGCCTCACACCATTTCAAGGCTCTCAGAAGAGGAGACTGAAAGCTGGATCAAATGGGTAAGTGTGTGCTACTGCAGGGAGCTGGAGGAGGGTGGAGGAAACAGGAGGTCAGGAGCAGCTAGTGACTGCCAAATCGGGGATGTTGCTGTCTGGTGATACCTATAGGGTGTGTGGGGCTCCTGGCCGTGGTATATCCATAGGGATTTCAAAATGAAAAATCCCAAACTCTTATAACTTACAGGGATTGGAACAAAAAGAGTGGGAGACTGCAACCTTCTGGATAGGCAGCACATGTGGAGGCACAGGAGAGCCAAGACCAGATGTTTTGTAACTGTCTGCTCGGCATTGCTCTGGAGCACTGGCTGCTGGAGGTGTCTCTTGGCTGATGTGCTGGCTGGGGTTGCTATTCCGTGTGCTTTGTGAACGTGAAGAAGTTGGCTATTTGTGAATCAGGCCTCATGCTGCTAAATCCTGCTGAGGTGCTCAGAGACAAAGGGTTAGCACTGCTACCCCATGGCCTTTCCAACTGTAGTGATTCTGGTTTGGCATTCTTTCATTTGTTCCAGAAGTTGGCTTCCTACATCTCTTAAGATACCGATTTCCTTTCCAGACTAGGAGTGGGACATTTAGGATGAGAGGCTTACGTGGTCAGGATTTCACCACAGCAGCATCCCTACACCCTCTCCATCAGGACTTTGTTAGCATTGACTTACTAGGCTGTGTACATGTGATGCAGTTGAAGGTACAACACTTGCATATACCTCAGCAGATGCTGCTTTTACTCTTCTTTACCTCTTTGACCAGAGGTGGTCCTTTCAGGATGTAGTCACTGTTGTGATCCCATATGGAACTGTTCATTACAAGAGTGTTTTCTGCAGACTGGGAAAACTGGAGAAGTAAGGAGAGCATCTGCAAGCTTGGGTTGCTTGTGCCAGTCCTGTTGTAGCTCTCTGGCTACCTGACCTTCAGGTGGACCTGGTTTTAGGTGTGCTTCTGCTCTCTTTAAAACACTTGAGCTCCACACAAATCGTGGTGAACTTCTCAGCTCAGTGAACAAGCCATTAACTGGAGCTAATTGACTTTCTCCATTAACTGCCCAATGCTTTATCCTGGGGTCTGATTTGGTTTTCCTCCCTTGGTTAATTTTCTGCTACCCACGGTCACAGTGGGGAGTCATTGAACATTCAAATCTCAGTTGAAGCTCATAATGGGGAGTGGAAAAGGAAATGCTGCATTTAAGGCCCGTTCTCTCAGCTTTCTGCACCCCAGCCTTCATTTTTTCATGACTGCACCCTTGTGACTTGTTTGCAGGCCCCAGAGAGGGATTCAGACACTCCAACTTTTGTGTTTTCTTGGATATAAACCAAGCAAAGCTTCAGGTACCGAAGGCTGAGCAGCTGTTGAAGTTCAAGCAGCTATTGTTTCTGGCAAATCTCTTGGTCAGAGCTTGGCACTGTGAGTCCATGGGACAACCTGCTTCATTTACCCCTCTTCTGAGCGATGGGCTTGGACTAGATTTCCAGAGCTATCATCCAATCTCAATAGTTTTCTGCTGCTTTAATAAGAAGCTTACAGGGAAAAGGGTAGGAATGGCCTTTTGCAGAGACCATCCTGCAGAAATCACGTCTGAACTTGCACTTTGAGCTCTGGGGCTGTGGCATCCCAAACCCAAAGAGAAAGAACAGCCCCCTGAGCAGACCATGAGCCTCTGGTTTCCAGAAGGAGCTCTGGGAGAGTGGAGCTGCTAAAGGCAGTTTTCCCTGTTAGGCCACTTGGCCACACTCTTCAGCTTCTGCTGAGCTGCCTTGGAGTGTACCTCCTGCTGCACCCACGAATAGCTAATCATAGAATCATGGATCAACCAGGCTGGAAAAGCCCTTTAAGCTCATCCAGCCCAACCATTCCCAGCACTGCCAAGGCCACCACTAACCCCTGGCACTGAGGCCTCTGCCCCACAGGCTGTGAACACTTGCAGGGACGGTGACTCCAGCCCTGCCCTGGGCAGCCTGTTCCAATGCCTGAGCACCCTCTGGGCAAGGAATTGTTCCTCAGCTCCAGCTAAACCTGCCCTGGGGCAGCTTGAGGCCGTTTCCTCTTGTCCCATCCCTTGTTCCTTGGGAGCAGAGACCAGCCCCCTCCTGGCTCCATCCTCCTGTCAGGCAGTTGCAGAGAGCGATAAGGTCCCCCCTGAGCCTTCTCTTCTCCACACTAAACCCCCAGGTCCCTCAGCCCTTCCCCATCACACTTGTGCTCCAGGCCCTGCTCCAGGTCTTTGCCCTTCTCTGGCCCCGCTCCAGCACCTCAGTGTCTCTCCTGCAGTCTTGTTTAAGATTAATAATCTTGTCTAAGATTAACAAATCTTGTAATAAGAGAAATAGTCTTGTCTAAGATTAGTAAATCTTGAAATAATCTTGTCTAAGATTGTTTTCTACATGCTAGAAGGGGAGGAACATTATAAGGGTTGGTTATGTGAGAAGTGACCTCTCTTTTTCACAAAGCAGAAGGAGGTAGAAACTGTTCTCTAATAAACTGCAAGACATTTGTTGAAACTTAGGCTGTTACAATCTGGTTTTTCTTTATGAGTAGTTTGTAATTACTGAGATTCTATCACTTTGGTTCTGACATTCTGCATAGGGGAATCAGTTCTTTGCTGTATGTTCAGAGGAGAATTAATCTTGTGCTTTAGTGACTTGAAAATAAATCTTATAAGCTACTTCTCTCTGGACTTGATTAAATTTTAACTGTACATGGAAACAGGACTGATGGGAAGCAGCTTTGCTATGATGTGATGGGGAATTTCCTTTGATGATGCTCTAGGAGATCAACTACTAAACAGCCAAGGTTGCTTTGAAATGGAACTGTTGCTTTTTGTAGATCAAAGAAGTCCTTGAGAACCCTCATTTATTGACAGTTATCAAAATAGAAGAGGCTGGAGATGAAATTGTGAGCAATGCCATTTCTTTTGCTCTCTACAAAGGCAAGTGATTGTGTTTCTGGTTTGGTTGTTGGTTGTTTTTCGGGGGGAGTTTCCTCTTCTAAATGAATGAAACAAAGATGGCTCTTTATTTTGTAGAACAGGTTTCCTTAAGCTTCTGACACAGTGTGGAGCTTATCTTCACCTGGAGTGGTGTGGACAGGCTACAGCAACATTATGGGATGTGTTAGTGTGGGTGAGACAGAGATACCCAATCCAGATAATTAGGAAGGCTTTTAGCAAAGCTTTTAGAGTGCTGGTTTAACATCTCTGAGAGCAGCACACAAGTATGCAACACAACAGGGAATCAGGAAGCCAAGCAAGGGATCTTTTCTAGTTATGCTGTTTATCCTGTATAATGGATTACTCAGCATCCTCCAGTGTAAAATCAAGTATCTTTTGGTATATATGTTGATCATCCAGTTCCAACCCCCTGCCATGGGCAGGGACATCTCACACTAGACATGTCACCCAAGGCTCTGTCCAACCTGGAGCTTCTCCTGATGCTTCTTGCATAGGAATTCCTGCAGGATTTCTTTTGTGTAGGGGATGCAGGATACTGAGGAGCCTGAAGGATATGTTGTGCTGATCTTGGTTGATGAGGTGCTCCTAGGAGTTCATCTGTGGTTTATGTTGGACCATAAATATGCCTCTAAGCCTCCAGCATCCTCTAAAACCCAGTCAGGAAGATGTGCCTCAGTCTGGGGAAAGACACTTGAGATGGGTCTTGTCAGGTAGAGTGTCAAGAGCAGACAAGTATGCCATAAAGCTCTTCTGTCTCTGGCTTTTTACCTAGAGGATTGTTTCTCCTCTGCAGCTTTCAGCACCAATGAACATGACAGGGATAACTGGAACGGGCAGCTGAAGCTGCTGCTGGAGTGGAACCAGCTGGACCTGGCCAGTGATGAGATCTTCACTAATGACCGAAACTGGGAGGTAGGGACCGCTTCTGTCTGTGTTATGTCAGAGGCACGGGACAGGGGAGCAGGGGGAAGAGGAACATTGTTACAGCAGCCACTATCTCAGCACCCTCTGAGATTGATAAATACAAGTGTCTATTCCTCCTTGCACTGACATCACTGATTGCAAAGGTTATCTGCCCATTGCCAGAAGTACTTTAGGCCACCCAACAAAGGCAATTTCATACAGAAAAAACTGATGAAAATGTGTCAGGCCCTTAGTAGGCTTTACATGTCTCTCATGCTCCCTAATACTTGCTTTTCCATTTCTTCCTAGTCTGCTGACCTACAGGATGTCATGTTCACAGCCTTAGTGAAAGACAGGCCCAAATTTGTCCGACTCTTCCTGGAAAATGGCTTGAATCTGAGGAAGTTCCTAACCACAGAGGTCCTTCGAGAGCTGTACACCAACAACTTCAGCAGCCTGGTGTTCAAGAACCTGCAGATCGCAAAGAACTCCTATAACGATGCGCTCCTCACGTTCGTGTGGAAGATGGTTGAAGACTTCCGTAGAGGTCTCAAAAGAGATGACAAAAATAGCAAGGATGAGATGGAGATACAGCTTCCAGTAAGTGATGAACAGGGATTTCAGGTTATCATAGAATCCCAGACTGGTTTGGGTTAGAAAGGGCCTTAAAGCTCATTCAGCTGCAAATACCTTCCACTAGAGCAGGTTGCTCCAAGCCCCTGTGTCCAACCTGGCCTTGTCTCAGCCTTGTTTTACTTTTAATACACTGCACCATTTTACAAGTGCACGTAAGGGTCATTTAACCACTAGGAAAATAGGTGAGTTTGGGTGTTGAGTTAAAATTGGAGCAGTCAGTGCTCTAGTTATGCTTATCATTTATATCAGTTTAAATCCAGAGTCTGGTACAGAGGTGCCAGCTGGACATGAGGTGTTTGTGCTCAGTGGGCTGGCTGTAAATGCAAGAAAGTATGAAAGCAGGAGAGTGGCAGGCTAGGATTTGTTCCAGTTAAGAACAGGTTGGTGAGCCTGGGTCTGAGGATTTATTGCTCTTTCTTTCAGGATGAATGTCCTATCACAAGGCACCCATTGCAAGCTCTGTTTATTTGGTCAGTTCTTCAGAACAAGAAAGAGTTGTCTAAAGTCATTTGGGAGCAAGTAAGTGGAGTTCTCCTTTATCCCTCTTTGCAAACAGCACAGTGGTGTTCCTTGTCTTCGGTTTGTAGGCCTTTGATGGCTCTGGATCCATCTTCAAACACAAAACTACAGGAGATAATTTCTAGATGACTCTGTAAGTGGGTTTACTATTACCTGTTTTGTGTTTGAGTGTGGATTTCATACTTTCCTAATGCAATGTTTGAATCAGCAGTCCAAGCTAGCATTTAGCTATAGCTCTATGTTCTTATCTGTGCTCAAACTTGGATGCACCACCCATTCCACACTATGGATGTTTTCTGATCCCAGGTATTTGATTGAAACCCATTTCTAATTTTGATTAGACAGTACATTTAGTGATGATTGTATTAAATGCAAATTTCCAGGCTGAAAGAGTGAGGCTAATGGATGCTCCTGCTCACAGTCTTCATGACTGAAACTGTTGCTTCCCTGTACAAATGACTGCTTGTTGGTCTGTGTGTCCAAACCAAAGTGCTGCTTCCCTGCACATGTAGATGGAATGGAATGGACTAATGTAGCCCATTAGGGCAGTTCTGGGTGCACCCAACTGGTCCACACTGGGGGCAGTGAAATTGGTAGTGTAGCTTGTGACAGAGCAGACCCAATTTTGCGACTCTTCAGCCAGAGATACTGATATCAGCAAAGCTGATACTTAACTGCCAAACACAAGACCTTTTCCAGTTGCTCACAGGGTTGTTAGCAAGCCACTACACTGATAGCTATCCTTAGTTTTGTGGGACATGATCTTCCGTTGCCAGTCTTGACTGGGAACTGAGCAGCTGCAAAGAAAGGAGGGTGGTGTTAAAGATTCTGTCGCGTTCCCTTTGCAAAGGGCTTTGCATGACTGAACTCTCTCTCCATAGACCAGAGGCTGCACTTTGGCAGCCCTTGGGGCCAGTAAGCTCCTCAAAAGCATGGCAAAGGTGAAGAATGATATAAATGCTGCTGGGGAGTCTGAGGAACTTGCTAATGAGTATGAGACAAGAGCAGTAGGTAAGTGCTGCCTTTCTTTAAGTCCTTTAGAAATGTAATAGGAGGGGGCAGAGATCAGGAACTTTTTTCATCTCTTTGAAAATGACTTGTTTTAATGCCCTCCAGCTCTTGTGCTTACCACTGGTTGCATAGTGCTGGTTGATACTGTGCAAAGCAAAACTGATAACTGGTTTTGTTCAGCAAAATGCTGGTACTTGTCTGAAATGCTGCCTAGAAATCCAGGCTGGATGTTAAAGAAGAGAAATGGCATCTCCAAAGGAAGTCGAAAGAAAGCTTTATTTAGAAAACTAGATATCCAACATTAAATGCTTCCTTTTAATGTGTTTTTACTGCTTGGAAATCTCTTCCACACCATCTGTTGCCAGCAGAAACTGTGTGTCCTGTCTGAACAGCTTGTCTCTAAATGTGGGTGTTGTGGGGGAAGGTTTGGGTAGAGAGTTTCTTTCACTGGGAAGAAAAGCTACCTACCTTTAATGGCAGGGTTCCCTGAAATAGGAAGGAGAATATAGAATAAGAGCGGCTTTCTGTGTGAGTGCTGGTCATTTCAGGTTGAGAAAAGCCACCTTTCAGGAGGGAGAAGAAATTACAGTAAAAAGTGTGTTGAATTCCTCAATTCTGATCTGCAAAATCATCATCACCTTCCTTGTTCTGAGAAGCAATACTGTTGGTCAGTGAGAACGCAGATCTAGCTCAGGTTTTGTTTTCTTCTGTGTGACCTTCAGTTTCTCCATTTGCAGGGATTGTCAGTGATTCAGAACAGAGCTCTGCATCTCCTGGGCTTGGGTGACCAGTAGTTTCTTATTTAATGAGGGTGATGGGTGACCGGAGAGCAGGGGATGTTCTTTTGCTTTAGCATTTCCATCCTTCTGGAGCAATAATGCTGGTGTTTCCTCAGTGTCCACTTATTCTGCAGGTTATTCGGAGAACCATGCCAATGAAAACCAGATAACATAGCAGGGATTCATTTGTAGCACCCCCAGCTTACAAAGACAAGCTCATCCATGGTGAACCCTGTGGTGCAGGACCTTGGTTCCTAAACTTGTAGGGAGATACAACAGGGTGTTTCCTCTGAGGCTGTGTTACAGGGTATGGCCTTGTTCTCTCTCATGGTGCAGAAAGCAGTGGCTCTCTATAACTGCACTGCTGCCCAGCTGTTTGCTCTCACCACCATAAGGCAGATTAGGTGACAAGTGAACTGCAGGTTCAATAGGAAACCATAGACACCTTGCTGGAAAGGGCTCCTGGAGGCCTCAAGTGCAATCTTGCTGTTGAGGTGGTGTTACCACCAGGACTAGATCAGGTCAGTCATGGCTTCATTTAGCCAAACCTTGAAAATCACAGAATAGTTTGGGTTGGGGGGACCTTCAAAGCTCATCTATTCTGACCCCCCTGCAGTGAGCAAGGACACTTTCCACTACATCAGGTTGCCCAGAACCACATCCAGCCTGGCCTTGAGTGTTTTACCACCTTCATTGTACAAAACTTCTTCCTCACATCAGCCTGAATCCCCCCTCTTTTAGTTCAAACCCATCACCCTTTGTCCTGTTACAACAGGTCCTACTAAACAGTCTCTCCCCATCTTTCTTCTAGGCCCCTTTTCAGAACTGAAAGGTCACAATAAAGTCTCCACAGCTGGATATTGGTTTATTGCTCCTAAAAGCAGACCATGTTTGTTCCTTTTCTGGGGCTAATGGAGACTAGATTGACCTGTTGAACTTGAGCTTTGTTTTGATTTGTGTGTCTGTGTCAGCAAAGCTATTTCACCATTCACTGAGGGGTGGCCCAAGGCCACACTGAAAACATCTTGCTTGTTACCAGAAAGTATCTCCTCCTTCACAAGGCAAAAACTGCTTCACTAGACTTTCCTAAAGCTATCTACATCCCTCAGGCCTGATTATTTAGCAAGACACTGCGAATAACACATCCCATTGAAGTCTGTCTATCAAGCTCTGTCTGCATATTGCAGAGTATGTGGTAACACCAGCCAGAAGTATTGCTGTGTGTGTACATCCTTGGAGTTATGGTGACACAGCTGTTTGAAATGCCTGGGGAAATGTGCTGTTGGAGAGAAGTGCTGTGTTTTGTGAGAGGCTGGATCCCTCTTGAGGGCAGTTGTGCTCTGTCACAGATACAGCGACAGAACTGCCTTTGAGTAGGAAACATCCAGAGCTGCAAAGAGAAATGGTTTTACTCTAAATACATGTTATTGGCAAAAATCTATGAGCAGAATAAGATGATTGTGGCTGTTATAAACCCAGCTTTATCTGCAGTGCATTTCCCAGTGGAGAAGGTTAAGGTTCTGACCTTATTGTTCAACCCTGCTTTAATATGGGACTGCTGAGACTGACTGTAAGTCATTAAAATCATAGAATAGCTTGGGTTGGAAAAGACCTTCAAAGGTCATCTAGTCCAACCCCCCTGCAATGAGCAGGGGCACCTTCAACTAGATCAGGTTGCCCAGAACCACATCCAGCCTGGCCTTAGATCAATGCTAAATGAATGAGAAGATAAACGGAGTCATTTGAGTAGGAGAAGTTCCTATTTCTCACTCAGTTTTTAGCACAGAACGCGACTGAGCTGGTTTAGGATGACAGTTTGCCATCCAGACAGGAATTCTTAAATACATGGAAGCGGGGTTGTAAAGCAACAACACAAGTTGTTTTGCCATGCTGAAAACGTGGCAGGAGTTCTTGTGTCTGCAAGCTTCAGTGTTACAAACGTTACGCTTTGGAAATCACTGAAGACGATTGCACCCAAGTTGGTTCAATTTGAATCTGAGCTTGGAGCTCAGTGTGGGGCTGCCTCTTCCCTCTAGAATTGTTCACTGAGTGCTACAGCAATGACGAAGATCTGGCTGAGCAGCTGATGACTTACTCCTGTGAAGCCTGGGGAGGAAGCAATTGTCTGGAACTAGCAGTGGAAGCTAGAGACCAGCAGTTCATCGCACAGCCAGGAGTGCAGGTAATGGCGCTGAAAGGAAGGTGCATGGGTGACTGTAATCCAGATAGCTTAAAAATGCCCTCCTTTGGAAATAGGAGGTGGCTGATTTGCCCACAGATGCTAACCCAGGAGGGGAAGAGCTGATGTAGAGCTGTAAATCATAATGAGGTGGATGATAAAGACCACCTGAAGTGGCTTCACCCTTGCACAGCTTTGTGGATGCACAGTGTGGATGCACTGCCCACTGTGAAGTGCCTTATACATCAGGTCAAGCCTCATTTTTAGCTCCTCATTGTGTAGGCTGGAGCATGGCTGGGCTGAGGAACCAGCACACTGTTACTAACACAGAAGCTTTCTGTACTGTTGAAACAGGAATCCCAGGTGTTTTGATTGAATTCTCAGTGATTTGGGGTTTTTTTACTAAATCTAATAGCATCTTGTTGCTGTTACAACAAATGAGGATATTTTCTTCTTCCCTGCAGAATTTCCTTTCCAAGCAGTGGTATGGAGAGATTTCAAGAGATACTAATAACTGGAAGATCATGCTATGTCTGTTCTTTTTCCCTTTAATAGGCTGTGGCTTCATCTCCTTCAGGTAATCAACTGGCTTCTCAAAGGGGAAGCAAACCAAGTCAATCATAGAAACATAGGACAATTTGGGCCAGAAGGGACCTCTGGAGATGATCCAGTCCAAGCCCCTGCTCAAAGCAGGGTCAGCTGGAACAGGTTGCCCAGGATTGTGTCCAGTTGGGGTTTGAGTATCTCCAAGGATGGAGACTCCAAACCCACTCTGGAGAACCTGCTTCAGTGTTCACTCACTCTCAAATAAGGATATTTAATGGCTGAATGAGCTTTTGACAGATCATGTCCTCACTCTGATCTGGAGTTAAGGTGTGCCTCTGCTTTGAGACCTTTTCCCTCTTTCTATTCCTTAGGAAAAAGCCTGTGGAGAAGAGTAAGAAACTCTTCCTGTATTACGTGTCTTTCTTCACCTCCCCCTTTGTGGTCTTCTCCTGGAATGTCATCTTCTACATCGCCTTCCTGTTACTCTTTGCCTACGTGTTGCTTATGGACTTCCAGAAGGAACCTACTGTCCTGGAGATCATCCTTTATGTCCTGGTCTTCATTCTGCTTTGTGATGAAGTGAGACAAGTAGGCAGTTCTTGCAACCCAGAAATGTTCAGTGTAGATTGAAATGTTCAATTAAACCCCAAAATGTTTCGTGCCTTGTGGTTTTCCCCCCTTCTAGCAGCATAAGGAAGTGCAGGCTGCCTCTAGGTTAAAGGGGAACTACTTCTTGGGAGATACATTCAGGTAGCTCAAGGCACAGTTAATTTCTTTAACCCTCCTATTTGTGCCCCAATAACTGCAGAGTCCATGCACCAAGAGGAATGTGGATTGACTTTGAAGCTGTGTGGGTTAAACTAATGCCAGTGGAGATATTCCTCGGGAATGCTTGGCTTGGATTTCCAGAGCAGTTGAGACTAGGAAGTTAGATTTAACACATTTATCTGGGTGCATATCTCTAGATCAAATGATTCGTGCCTCTTCAGAAGAGAAGTGGATGTGTGGTTTCAGTGCAGGGCTGCTTTCCCATTGTCCTGTAAGGCGTTAGTCTCCACATGAGTGTGTCTGTGGGTGATCTGCTGGATCAGACCACCCTGCAATAACATTTCTTACATTGAGATCAAATGACATTGCTGAGTGTTGATGTTACTGTGCTTAACTTGCTGTGTGGTCTTTTTCCTTTCCAGTAGTCAAGGTGGTAGGTACCCTGGTTAAGGCAACTTCCCTTGCTAAGGAAAATGGGGGGGAGAAGTCAGACTGTTGCAATGAAAACACTAATGGAGCATTTGTTTCTGATGGTTTAGGTTCTGCCTCTGGACCTGTCGTTGCACTTCCAGTGTGCACCCAGCAAAAGTCCTGGGGAAAGCCTTAGGGATAGAACCCTTTTTACCCTCCCAGTGTCACTATTTCTCACCACCCTGAGCAGCTAGAACAGCTTCAGATCCCAGGCATCCCATTAATTGGTGCCCAAACTGTACCAGTTTGACAGTGGGAGAGGAGACAGCTGAAACAGAGATTTTTATGGAGGATTTGAAGTTATCTTAAGCCCATTTTGGCTTCAGACCTATCTTGCTAAGAAGCAGGTTGCAGGGCAATGTCGCAGTAAGAGTGATGTTGCCTGGGGTTGTGCTGTAGCTTCTGCAGTCAGGTACCTAGTTCTGGGGAGAGATCAGCCCTCTCCTTAGAGTGGTGTGTCAGTGGGAGTGACAGCTAGCCCATGGTTCCACATGTAAAGCAGGTTGTGTCACTGTGCAGGGGGACTGAGCTGTGTCTGAACCACAAGGCACTGGCTCAGCCCTGTTTTCACCTCTGATGGACCTAAGGGAGTTTTAATTAGCTGGAGCTACTTTCTCTTGTCCTATTTAGAGCTGTTATGGCAATAGTGAAATCAGAGATGCCTTTTTCTGCTGTCTTCCTAGTCTGTAGGAAAGCCCCATTTTCCAAATGGAGAAGGAATCTGGACTGAACTTCCATGCACATTAAACTTTTAGCAATGGCAAGCACTTCATATTTGAAGGACTGAACAGCACTGCAGCCCTGGTTGTTCTCACCTCTTTACACGTACCTGCCTTGGCTTTATCTCTGTTTCTGCTTTAGACCAAAATCCATTTTCTCTCTCCCACCCACAATTGTGTCCTTAATAGAAGAGGATCAGGCTTAAACCTGTTGCATTTAATACACCTGTGGTGCAGTGATAAGACATTTGAACCAGAGGCATCCAGCTGTTCATATAAAACTGCTCACTGCCATTTATAGCAAGACAACTTATGTTTGATTTAGGGAGTTACTAAACATGGACAACCCTGTGCCATGGGTACCAGAAATGCTGTCCTCACTCAGTGCTCAGCCTTTGGTAGCTTCAGTAGTGTTAGAGGTGTGTGTGAGTCTCAAGATGCTGAAATAGTGTCTGCTAATTCCTTGAGTTTGACACCCTGGTAACTTCCACAACTGTCCATCTTCAGCAGTGCATCCCATTGTGTGAAGAAAATGCAACTGGAATAGCAAAGTGACAGTTCTAGAGGTTCACTGGTTATAGAGAGTCAGTATTTTACTCAGCTTTGATTATTTCCATGAAAATGAAGAATTATGATCAGGGACTCAGTCTATTTCTTCAGGCCTGGCAGAGGTTTCTCCTGCTTAAGCTCCTTGTCTTAATGAGTCTCCTCTGAACTGGATCCAGAAGTTGCCCAAGCTTTGGGTCCAGGGGCAGTACCAGTCAGTCTGGGAATGGGGAGAGATTTCCACTGGACTTGCCATTCAGAACTAGAAAGGCAGGTAATGAAAAGAATAAATGGAGTACACGTGTGAGCACCAAGTGCATCAATCTCAGCTCTTGTCAGGACTGGTCCTTCCTCTTCCAGAAGCACCCATGTGCTTGGGTTATGTCCTCTGAGCATAGTAACCCACACTGTGGTGTGATGTACCACCCATGTGCTTAACTGGTCCCAGTGCAAGAGCATTAGCTTAGGACATCCAGACAGCAGGAGAAAATGTGTTAAGGAGCTCTAAACACAGAAAGTCTTGACCAATAGACTTATTAGAAGTTAACAGTGACAATATGTTTCCATGTTTTCAGTGCCTGTGATTTCTGGCATTGCTGGATAGATCAAACCCCCTCTTTTAGGGGCAATTAAAAGCAATCTGATCTCTCCTGTACCTGTTACGTGTGACAGAAAATCAACTGGGCAAGGAAACAATCCTTTCTATTGCAGTGGGTGGAGTATTTACCCATGAGGATGTCCAGTGGAGAGAGAGAGGGGAAGATGGATGAGCTCCCTCCTTTGTGGTCATTACTTTCTGCTCTTTTTCCCCCCGCAGTGGTACATGAATGGCAGTAAGTATTTCTCAGATCTGTGGAATGTTATGGATACACTATCAATCTTCTACTTCATCGCAGGGATTGTGTTCAGGTGAGTAGTGTCTGTTCTTGAGGCCATGTTATGCTTTGCTTCCTTTCTGGGTTTTGATTACACCCTGTAATGAGATTTTGGGCAATGACGTGTACATGAAGCTCCCTCTTCTTTTTAAAGGTCTCAAGTACTGGTAAGTCTTGACTCTAAATCTGTAAAAGCAAATATAGAGATAGAATGAAGTTATTAAGGAACACTGCATGTGGTGTTTTCTATTCTGTGTTTGATGGAAGTTGGGTTTATCCCTGGAGTCAAAGGTGGCTTTTCTAAGCTTGGATCTTCCTGGGCCAGCAAGACAGCCCTTCTTAATGCTTAGGTTTGGATGAGCATGTTTAGAAGAGTATGACTGAAATAAACTTAGGTTTCGTGACAGTGCCTGGCTATATAGACTAGACTGTGTCAGAGTTGCAGGAGTTCTTTGGGATTTTCCCTGCTTGTTCTTACTGACTATTGAGTGTGGTAATCTGGACTTTTTGAGCTTTAGTGTGTTGTATTTAAAGAGACTTTAATTGTGCCCACAACAGTCTAACAGCATGTCAATAGCTCATGTAAGCTGTTTTACATGAATGGGTAGTCAACAACCATGACAAGGAAACGATGGAAACACATTTTACACTGTAATTGTGCAGTCAGCTGTAATTTAGTTCTCGTTGCCTCTGTGCAGCAGAGTGGTCATTGCACTGATGGGCTGGGAGGGCTGTGGGAGCAAAGGTACAAGATTTCTTTGCTGTTCCTAGTTTTAGAGGGGCAGAGGTGATGCAGCAGGGATGTAGATGAGATAGGAAAGGTGTAAACAAGTTGTGCATTAACCAGTTCTGCCAGGTGCCATCAGGTGGGAGTGGGTACCAGAGCATGGGGCCCTGGGTGGCTGTGCTGAGTTTTCCACTTGCTCACTTTGTACTCCTCCTTTCAGTGTATTTGTGTCTGACGTGTGCATTGTGCTTTACACAATGCTTCTCTTTGTTCTCTTTTACTCTCTCCATCAGGCTTCACTCCGATGAAAGCTCTTGGTATTCTGGGAGAGTCATTTTCTGTTTGGACTACATAGTTTTTACTCTGAGGCTGGTCCATATTTTCACAGTTAGCAGGAATCTAGGACCCAAAATCATTATGCTGCAGAGGATGGTAAGATTCTGGCAGCTCTTCAAGAGAGTCTAAATAAATGACGTGACACCTTTTCTCTTCCTCCTCAAAAGTGAAAATCACCACTGTTCTGATGAGAGCAGCAAGTTCTCTCCTCTTAAATCTGCTAAACAGGATGAATTAAGATTTAAATGGACCTAATTAAGTGCAGGGCTTTTTTCTATCCCTCTGCACAGGGAGAGAGTGAAGATCAGGCTGAAGAACAGAAGAGGAAATTTGTTTCCTCATAGCTCTTGTCTTCCACTTCTCAAGTGTTTCAGCGCTGTTCCCTCACTCCAGTTACTTACATTGAGCATTCCCTAAACAAGACATGATGGATGGTAAATGCTATAGGAGGAGGATTTCTACCTTCCACTGCATCTATCACACAAAGTAACTGGAGAAGCGGGTGGTGAGGAGCCTAATGGAGTGGTTAATTCTGTCCTTGTAGCTGGAGGGGATGTTTGCCAGCAGACTAGGAAAGGTAATGGGAAGAGAGTGGGCTTCTCTCTTCCTATTGAACACATCCTTGGCAGTGTTCAAGGCCAGGTTGGACACAGGGGCTTGGAGCAACCTGCTCTAGTGGAAGGTGTCCCTGCCCGTGGCAGGGGTTGGAGCTGGAGGAGCTTTAAGGTCCCTTCAACCCAAACCAGTCTGGGATTCTAGTCTATAATTCTGTAAAGATGCTTGTGTGGGTAGTGGAAGGGCAGCTCGTGGTGGAGGTGAGTCTGCAACAAGTGGGGAAGCTCAGCTGGGATATTACCAGTCTTTAGTTATCTGTATATTGTTAAGAGCTACAAATTGATGGAGCTGTTAGCCAGAGTGTCTGCATTGTAAATGCTCGTTTGAAACCATCCACAGTATATCCTATATTCTGAAATGTGCCTTGGCTTTATGGTTGCATAAACAGTTCTGAAGTTCCCTGAGTGGGAATGGTCAATTATGTGCATATGTGTGTTGGTGACTGTACATATATGGAGCAGGGATGTGAAAACTTGCATGAAAGTGCTGCTAACTCCTGTGGGGTCTGCCATATCAGTTTCTTTTCCACCCTAATATCAAACTGGAGAGAAAGCCAGCCATGCCTGGCTTGGAACAGGCATGCAGCGGGCACTGATACCTCTGCTTGTTGTCCTTTTTCAGATGATAGACGTCTTCTTCTTCCTCTTCCTCTTTGCTGTGTGGATGGTAGCCTTTGGGGTGGCCAGACAAGGGATCCTGAGGAAGAACGAGCACCGCTGGGAGTGGATATTTCGATCTGTCATCTACGAGCCGTACCTGGCTGTGTTTGGCCACTACCCTGATGATGTTGATGGTAGCTATCCTGGGTGGGAATCAATCCTGGGTGGTGGAAGGCTTCCCTGGCTGCCAAGTCCTGTGTTGACCCCTTTCCTCCAAGCACTGAGGCAAGGTTTTATGTCTGATGGGGAGGCAGGGAAGGTGGAGGCCGCATGTGCTGTGGTCAGTGGCAGTATTTGGGGCTAGACCCAGCAGAAAAAGGAGAGAAGGGCTCACTCTTTGCTCTCCACTCTTGCCCTCTGAGGTACCACCTACAACTTTGACCGCTGCACGTTTTCTGGGAATGAGTCCAAGCCCTTGTGTGTGGAGCTGGATGGCAACAACCAACCCCGCTTCCCCGAGTGGATTACCATTCCCCTGGTCTGCATTTACATGCTCTCAACCAACATCCTCCTTGTGAACCTGCTTGTGGCCATGTTTGGGTACGTAACAAAGGAGCTATCACTTGCTTATGCTCTCTTGAATCCTGGGTTCAGTTCTGGGGCCTTCACTACAAGAGAGACATTGAGGTGCTGGAGCAGGGCCTGGAGCACAAGTGTGATGGGGAAGGGCTGAGGGACCTGGGGGTTTAGTGTGGGGAAGAGAAGGCTCAGGGGGGACCTGATCGCTCTCTGCAACTGCCTGACAGGAGGATGGAGCCAGGAGGGGGCTGGTCTCTGCTCCCAAGGAATAAGGGATGGCACAAGAGGAAACAGCCTCAAGCTGCCCCAGGGCAGGTTTAGCTGGAGCTGAGGAACAATTCCTTGCCCAGAGGGTGCTCAGGCATTGGAACAGGCTGCCCAGGGCAGGGCTGGAGTCACCGTCCCTGCAAGTGTTCACAGCCGGGTAGCCGAGGCCTCAGTGCGAGGGGTTAGTGGTGACCTTGGCAGGGCTGGGAATGGTTGGGCTGGGTGAGCTGAAAGGGCTTTTCCAACCTAAATGATTCTGTGATTCTGTATCAGTGTCCCTCTGATAAAGGGAATGAAGTCCTGGAAACCACCAGGAAGCCACCACTTGGACTGCGCCTGTGTCTTTTACAGAGGAATTGCTGGGATTAGTCTGGACGGGGTTCCCTGCTTGACACAGACCTCTCAAGTTCAGGGTGTGGGGAGGTGAACAGGGGCAAAGCGATGCAGCATTTCTCACAGCAGTCTGATCAACTCTGTTATGATGTCCTGGTGATGGATCCTGCCTGTCCTTCTACTGCTGCCGTGAGCATCAAACCAACCCCCTGTGTGAACCACATGGGGGGTGATAGGTGGTTCAGTGCTTTACCAAGCATGAGCTGCTGCACAACTGACCTTGCTAGTTTGAATAAATGAACTATTACCACAGGCTTTTTATGACACTGTGGGTTTATTAACCAGAGTTGCTCTGTGGTGATGGTGGGTCTGTTAGGGCTCTGGTGGACCTGCTCTTTATTGTCCTGACTTACACCATGGGCCACATCTCCTTGCGAAGTGTAAAAGGACTTGGTCTTGAAAGATGCTATCACCTCCATTTTGATATGGGAATTTGTGGGTCGACCAGTCAGGAGGCCTATTCCTGCATCCTGGGAGGTGTTACACCCTGCAGATGGATCAGATGTCTGAAATGTGGTGCTGGAAACTGCTGGTTGTATTCAGCACTGGTTTGCCAAATAAAGATGGTGGCTGGTGTGCACATTGTCTAATAGGTATTGACCGCATTGGGACCAGCAAGAGCAGGGAAAGGTCTCCCCAGCTTCTGCCAGAGATCTGTTATTTGCACTAAAAGCTCTGACACAGACTTTAGTTAACAATGGAAGTTCTTCATAGTGGACTTGGGGAGCGTGTTGCCCTCCTGCCTCACTTCTGACTTGGGAATAGAGTTGGATCAGTGCTGGGGCTCTGTTCTCCAGCCCGGCCCTGCTTCTTTTCTGCTTTACACTCCCTTGCAGCATAACACAAATACAACCCCTGGGCACCATTCCTGAGGTCTGATACGTTTACTTTTGTGTTTAATGGGACCTTGGCAGTGACAGGCTTGACAGGAGTTTGCTTTGGCAACAGGAGTGTTTACAGGAACTGCTGAGGACTCTTGATCCACCTCGAGAGGCTCTCCCTGCCGAATGGCCGTGCCAGTTTTTCCTGGCCTGAGATGAGATGTGTTAGTGTGGTGAGTTGAGAATGCCTCAGCTCTGGGGTCTGCTCTCCCCTCTGCTCTGAACCTTTCCTCCTGTGCTGAGCTGGGCTCCAGAGACAGCCAGAGAAGTGATTTTTGGCAAGGCAGCTGGGACTGGTGCACTGTATCTGCTTATTGTACATGTGCTTTCCTAACCTGCACAGGACCTGGGCACAGAAGACAATGCTTATACTCCCTAGAAAGGGTGAAAGCAATTCACATTAACAAAGTAAAGCACTAAGCCAGCTCTACCCTAGAAGCCTTTGATATTTATTAGAACACTTACTTTAACAGCACAGTAAATGCTCCAGTTGATACTTAGGCCAGTAAACCCCTTGGTTTTGCCCGTTCAACCTATTTTGTGGAAGGACCCAGCATGAATTCACTAATGACACTCTGGAAGCTTTCCATAGTTCATTTTAACGACAGACTGGACACCTAAATCAAGCAGGAGCAGGGGATTGTACTGAAGTCAGGAAGCCCAGTGGGCAGACAGCAATCCCAGCTCATTTTCTCTTGCTGCAGTTAGAAACGTGTGAGGTCTGTGACAGCTCCTCCTATGGCTAATGTGTAGTATTTGTCAGTGTTTAATACTGCTGATGTCTATAGACACCAGTGCAGACAGTGCCTCTTTGATGTAATAACAATGGATGTTAGGTTTTTAGGTACTTCTGGAATTCAGGATCATATTTGTCTTCTAAACCAAAATATAACTTCCACCAGGTGAAGGTTTTAGCTTCTCTTGTGCAAGGGTCTATTAGGATCTCAGCACAGACATTTTGGAAGCATCCATGTGCCATTTAATGTCAGCAATGAAAGGTCAGGCAGTCTGAGCTGCTCTTGTGGTTGTGGCTTTGCTGGGTTTGTACAAGTAGGTTTGCTCCATGCCTGAAGCATTCTTAATGCCTCTACTAGAAATCACAGGAGCCTTTCATTTTATTATCAATGTTTTATTTTTAGGGCTGTTTCTTTTTACTGAGCAAGAAGTTAGCTGGTGAGTTGATGAGGCACAGTATCTTGCAAAGAAGCATCCTGTTCTCATGTGTCTAGGCTGGAAGAAAATTGCCTAGAGCTCGAAGGTACTGAAAGTACGTGGAGTATTTTCTCCCTGTTCCAGCCTCAGGATGACTTTAGAAAACCATGCGCTGGTATAACCGTTGGAAACACTGTGTTACTTGGCTCTGATGGAGGTCATAATGCTGTATGTATCCTCTCTTTCTTCACCTCTTAGTTACACTGTTGGATCAGTTCAAGAGAACAACGACCAGGTATGGAAGTTCCAGCGTTACTTCTTGGTCCAAGAATACTGCAGTCGCTTGACTATCCCCTTCCCTTTCGTCATCTTTGCCTACATATACATGGTGATGAGGAAGTGTTTCAAAATCTGCTGTAAGAATGAAAGTAAAGAGCCATCTATTTGCTGTGAGTTGGATTATTCCTTACTGCCTACAAGTCAGCTCTGTGGCAGGGGCATTGCGCCTCTTCCATGGCATTCTGTGCTTAAAGCAGCCTCTGTGTGTTGGTGGGAAATACCCAAGGGCAGTGTGGACCTTGGAGGAGGTGGTTGTACTGGAAATGAGAAGCAGTTCATGATGTTCTCTATCAAATGCAAATCCACTGTGTTGCTAGAAATCTCTTCAGTAAGATTCAAATCATACTTGAGTACTGTGCAGACTTACCCAGTGCTTTCTTGCCCAAGCCGTTTCAAGGTAGGATTACCTCACGTATATAAATCAAATGAACCCTATCAGTTTAGGGCTGCCTATGCAGAGAGTTTGGGGGGGGGGGGGGGGGGGGGGGGTGGAGACACGA